CAATATCAGCACCTCATACAGCTTCCTGCACACTAAGTGTGTCTTTAAAATGTTTCCCAAATAAATCAGTTAATTACTTATCACTGTCAAGTAATTAATTTCAGTTTAACCCTCCTCCATAACACAGTGTGAGTGAGGAATTTCTAGTGTTCTACACAATGACTAATGGGCCTGTGACCCAGATACTGCAGTCAATAAAATGAGAAGTTGGTAACCATCACTAACAATGCAGAAGTAATAACAACATGTTGATTTAGTGATCAATAAGAGCTCAATTAGTGTGTCAGAGCTCTGAGTTAGTTGGTTTGATTTAAGGGAAGTGGTGTGATTTTATTCCCTATGGCTTCTGTTATGAAGTAATCAGTACGAAAGCTTTGAAAGATAATAAATTCATACTATTTCTGTATGCTACAGTTAGATTTTTTTATGATAGATACACAGAAAATGATTTATAAAATCATTCACTGGAAACTGGTTGCACTTGGAAGATCAGTGTAGAAACCTTAAATTTCCAATCGCCTGGGGCAGGGGACCAGAAGATGCTGCCCAAATGCCTACGCGGCCATATTTATACATAAATGTCACGCAACCACGTCAGCACAAAAGCTTGGTAACACCTCATTATGTGCTTCTTGTACTTTTAGTCAACGCTCGTTCATTAGAGAGATGACTCAGAGCTTGCTTCTCATTTAAACACTGGACAGAGAAAATAATGAGTTTTGGCTTTTCATGCATTAAAAAAATAAAACAGAGAAGCATCCATCTCAACACAAAAGAAAAAATTACCTAAGCCAAGCATGCCACCAAGTGCTCTATCTCTGAATAATGCCATGAGTGTCCTGCTCACAGAATTCATTCATTCACTCATTCATTCATTCAAACTGGTCACAGAGGACCTAGCGACCATCAGTCTGGGCAACCGGCACCAACCAGAACAGCTGGGGCAAACCACAGAGCATGGTCACTCAACACCCTGGCCGGGAGTTTGAAATATCACAGAAGGCACACACAGCAGGAGAGGGGAGACGTGCTGATGGAATGTTTGCTATGACCACTGCCAGCCCCACGGACCCCCTCATGGTTTCTTGTTGTGGAGGCAGGTAGAGACACGGGCAGGGCCTGCACCCCCCTCGCCATGCACCTTAGACCCGACGCACATGGCTGAGCCAGTGGACACACAGCACAAGAGATGGACCCTGTTCCTGAACAGCCGGTGTTGCAGCACAGAGACGGGGCTGCGGCCAGCTTGCTCTCGGCTGACTGTTGGCTGTGCCTTCTTCCTGCATTAGGAAGCCTGCTTTTGAAAGCCTTCCTGAGCCTCAGGGTCAGGTTCCTGGTGCTGGAATGGTAGAGCAGCCAAGTCAGGATGAGCAGAGCTCATCAACACTACTGACTGAGTAGTGAGGCTGCAGACCCGCTGCCCCTCCCCCAGCTGTGGCCGGGTGTGCACCCAGCTGTGCGGGTCTAGCAGAATTCTGTAGGCACATCCTAGAGTGGCTCTCCGAGGCGGGCGCTTCTCTCACATATAGGCTTTGCGTTCCCCACAGGGGTTCCCCACGATACCTTCTAACACCTCCTAGCACGAATTGCTCAATACTCCACCAAACCGTTCCGCGTTCAACAAGTCTCTGCAATTTGCTGCAGTTCATGTCTAACAGCCCTGTGTCACACCTGCTAGTGTCACCATACACGGGGTTGCTAACAGCAAACAGTACGGCAGGCACTCCCTGGGGATCCTTGGCACCCATGCAGGTGCACTACCTACTGCGCCGTGGACAAGGAGCCAATTCTATTCTGAGTTTGCCTCTTCCATTTTAGTATGAGAGCTAATTTTAAAGCAAATAACTGCACCTGGGGGAGAAACAGGACGCTAGGTCCAGAATGAGCAGCTGGGGCTTCTTCCATGCATGAAACCAAACCACCTTGGCCATTGGTGCTTCAGTGTCACAGCCCTTCTGGGGCATCGGCCGGCTGTGGCTCCCAGTCTGTGTTCCTGTTGTTTCTGAGCTGAAGATGAGCACACTTGGGGTGGACATCTAAGTGGAGCCATCACTGTTAAGTTAGCAGGGAAGATGTTAAACCACTTCTTAGAAAAATCCAGGGGCCGGCGCTGTGGCGTAGTAGGCTAAGCCTCCACCTGCGGTGCTGGCAACCCATACAGGCGCCGGTTCACATCCTGGCTGCTCCTTTTCTGGCCCAGCTCTCTGCTGTGGCCTGGGAAAGCAGTAGAAGATGGCCCAAAGTGCTTGAGCCCCTGCACCTGCGTGGGAGACTCAAAAGAAGCTCCTGGCTTCAGATCAACCCAGCTCTGGCCATTGCGACCATTTGGGGAGTAAACCAGCAGATGGAAGACCTCTCTCTCTGCCTCCTTCTCTCTGTCTGTAACTCTGCCTCTCAAATAATTAAATATCTATAAAAAAAATCTGAACACATTTCCTTCCCTTTCATTTGAACTCCTTCTATGTCTTCATCCCCTGCTCTCTCACGTCACTAATGCCATCTCTGGGCTGCACCCAGCTTGCTCCTGGCTGACTGTTCACTCCCAGCATCTGGGGACATGACGCACTGTCTCCAGTGCAGACACCATAAATCCCACGGCCACGGGGAAGACTGAGCATAAAGCTCCTTGGCCCCTTTGATAAAGCACAACAGAGGATAAAGGAGGAAGGCCAAGCACCTGTTTGCTCTTTGTATGTTCTTACATCACCAAGACACAATGGAACTGGGACACCTGTTTCCCATGGCGTCATGAAGTAAAGAAATGAGATCCACAGTGCATGGCAATGACGGCTGGTTGAACCCCTCCAGGGCTCTGGGCACATGGATGAAATTTGTTCCATAGGCACAGTTCTTTTCTCCTGATTCTCCTCTGTGGGGTCACAGAACTCCATGGGGTCCCCAGTGCCTGGTTTTCAGACGCCTAACCTAATTTTCATTCCATGTTTAAAACAGTATCTTGGGCCAGCACTGAGGCTCACTGGGCTAATCCTCCACCTGCGGCGCCAGCACCTCGGCTTCTAGTTCCAGTTGGCGTGCCGGGTTCTAGTCCCGGTTGCTCCTCTTCCAGTCCAGCTCTCTGCTGTGGCCCGGGAGTGCAGTGGAGGATGGCCCAAGTGCTTGGGCCCTGCACCCGCATGGGAGACCAGGAGGAAGCACCTGGCTCCTGGCTTCAGATTGGTGCAGTGCCAGCCATAGTGGCCATTTGGGGGGTGAACCAACAGAAGGAAGACCTTTCTCTCTGTCTCTCTCTCTCACTGTCCACTCTGCCTGTCAAAAAAAAAAAAAATAGTATCTTACTCACGACTATGCACTGGGCAATTTACAAAGAGCCCTGTACATGTTCTCTGGTTCACACTCACAGTAACCTCATGCCCAAGGATCACCCCAATTTTTCAGCCAGGAACCCCGCAGGACTGAGAGCTTAGCGAACTTCCCCTGGACCACCGAGCACTGCACAGAGGAGCTGGCTGCAGAACTGGAGAGCCCCTCTTAGCCTGCACTGGCTCCCCAGCCTGAAAATCCACCTGGAATCTACCGTGGCCTTCACCGTAGCCGAGCCCCTCACAAGCGCTGAGTCCTTATCGGTGACTGGGCAGAAAAATCCAAGTTTAACTTTTTATAAAGTAGCGTCAAACGGACTCGGCTCGGTCTCCTGTGGAAGGCTTGCCCATAGCCTGCGTGCAAGGCCGGGCGCACATTTCTCAGCCTGCCCAGGGGCTGGAGAGGGGCCGAGCACCTCGGGCTCTGGATCCTGCTTCTTCAGCTCGCACCCTCCTTCCCTTTCCAGGCCACTTGAAAGCTGGTGACCCCAGCGTAACAAATACGCATCAAAGCCATTTAAACTATTCTTTTCCATTTAAAACATTCCTTGAGATTCCCCCTTCTGCTTCTCCAAAATGTTCCTTAGAATGGGCTTTGCCTCCTGAAATGGCTTCCAGCAGGTTTTGCTTTGGCATAAAACAAACTTCCACCTGGGCACCCTGACAGGTGAGCCTGCGTCTGCAAGCCTGCCTGCCCCCTGCTGTCCTGGGCACGTATCCGTGTGTGGCACCCAGACCACACCCCGTCCAGCCCTCCTGTCACCCTGCAGTGCTGCCCAGCATGGGTCTGCTGCGAAAGACAGGCCTCTGGGGATGCAGCAGGTGCAGTGCCCAAAACAGAACAGAACACATTCAATGCCCACCCAACTCCAGCCAAGCTGAGGGTCCTTCCTGTCCTCCTCACTTCAGGGTCAGATGTCCACGGCTGTCCCAGACCCTAACGACAGAAGTAAGGCTCTGCTCCCCACCTACCCCTCTATGGTGTTGTGTCTGTGTTTCCACGATGGACAACCCGACTTGGTTCTAACCAACAGCCTCTATTCTCGGAATTTCATTATTTTTTTTTTTTAACAGGCAGAGTGGACAGTGAGAGAGAGAGACAGAGAGAAAGGTCTTCCTTTTGCTGTTGGTTCACCCTCCAATGGCCGCCACGGCTGGCGCACCACGCTGATCCGATGGCAGGAGCCAGGTGCTTCTCCTGGTCTCCCATGGGGTGCAGGGCCCAAGCACTTGGGCCATCCTCCACTGCACTCCCTGGCCACAGCAGAGAGCTGGCCTGGAAGAGGGGCAACCGGGACAGAATCCGGCGCCCCTGCCGGGACTAGAACCCAGTGTGCCAGCGCTGCAAGGCGGAGGATTAGCCTAGTGAGCCGCGGCGCTGGCAAAGATGAGCTTCTAAAGACTCTCACCCCTGAAGGCAGCTTGGGCCACATTTCTAACAGGAAGACCACCACATGGAGGGCCCGTTCTGCTGGACTTGGGACTATGTGAACTCCAAAGGGCTCCAGGAATCTTTCTCTGCAGGCAACACCTGCTCTTCCCAGGCCCACTGGTCTGGGAGATAGGAGTCAAGTCTAAACATCTAGGACATACTCCCAAGTCTTTTGCACACCCTGGAGAAACCTGCACAAGTAGGCAAAAGACAAGCTCTGGGCACAGAGAGAAAGCCATCAGCCGCACCTCAGTTGGGGCTTTGTCATGCTTCTTCCTGGGGTACACATTTGCAGCTGTGGCCTGAGACAGAGCCCCCAGGTACGGCAGGTAGCGCTGCAGCGTCTTGGCCAGGACCACGTCATTCTCCAGGCTGTGTCTCCTTTCATTATCCACATTCTGTTTTGAGGTCCTGAAAAGAAAACCAAGAATCAATCGCGTGTTTGATTACCAGCGCTGATCAGCCTGGGTCAGTCTTGGTGAGATGCCTAACGGGAGCCCAGTGTGGCCTCCAGAGCTCACGTGACAGTGCAGTCTGTGTGCACAAAGCTATGGGGTCCGGGGCTCCCCTTGCTGACCCTTGACTTGGGTCTGATCTCGAGGGTAAGTAGGAGATGGGGCAGACTGGAGCTAGGAAGGGCTGTGCACAGGAGGTTGACGTCAGATCTTCTGTTGGCTTTGAAAGGACGGCGTAGCCTCCAGACACTGGGAAAGCCAGCCACAGACCCTCGCCTGGAGGTTCCAATAGGAGCCGGCCCTGCCCACTCTGTGGCTTTATCCTAGTGAGACGCATGTTGGACTCTTACCTTATGTACTGATGGAGGATACATTTGTACAGCAGGTGCTATGTGCTCCTCCACTGTGCCTGCCACCACCATTAAACAATTAGGCACAGGTCACCACTGTGTGCACGGACCATGCAGACAAAGAGCTCTGAGGCTGGGAGGCTCACCCTGCAGCAGGATTTTGGGGGCTGGGTAGCAGGAGCGGTGAGGTCAAGGGCACAGAAATCCAGGCATAGCTGGCCACAGGACTATGGAGGAAAGGGAGACTCTGGGAGACACCTTGAAGGATCCACTGCACGCAGCCACCGCTAATTACACTCAGAGTCATAGAGAGAACGGCTCATTTGCCAGCGAGACCTCCGTCACTGTGAAGTGTAGCCATCAAGAAAGGCAACCAGAGAGGGCCCAGACAGAGCCAGCAGCGAGGGGCTGGGAAAGCCAAGGAAAGGGTGTCCCCGCAGGAACCCGCAGACACGGATGTCGGGACTGACCACTGGCCACACTCGGTCCTGGGGAGGAAGTGTAGGGGTCGGAGGGGGAGGAATGTTGGCGTCCCGTCACGACTGCTCTGTCCTCTGATTAACCATAGCTCCCTGGGAGCGACAGGTGGTCTCTCCGAGCCTGGCTCCCTCCCAGCCTGGAGCTGTGGACACCGCAGCTCCGTCCCCTGGAGCTCCCTGCTGCTGACCCAGGCTCTTGCTTTTCTGATTTTCTCACCCACCCCAAAAGGACCCAGGGGGTACCTTCCGTGAGGAAGGAAATTCAAACAAAAAGGCCCATCCACCAGCCAGGATGCATACCAGGGGATCTCAGAAAGTTCATGGGAGGTGGAATTAAGACAAGTTTGGGGGCCAGCGCCGCGGCTCACTAGGCTAATCCTCCACCTTGCGGCGCCGGCACACCGGGTTCTAGTCCCAGTTGGGGCGCCGGATTCTGTCCCGGTTGCCCCTCTTCCAGGCCAGCTCTCTGCTATGACCCGGGAGTGCAGTGGAGGATGGCCCAGGTGCTTGGGCCCTGCACCCGCATAGGAGACCAGGAGAAGCACCTGGCTCCTGCCATCAGATCAGCGCAGTGCACCGGCCGCGGCAGCCATTGGAGGGTGAACCAACGGCAAAGGAAAACCTTTCTCTCTGTCTCTCTCTCTCACTGTCCACTCTGCCTGTCAAAAAAAAAAAAAAAAAAAAAGACAAGTTTGGGTGTGGGAGAGCTGAGCAAGCCATGCGTGGTTTTTCCCTAATGTCCATGTTCCACAGACCTCTTCATCCACAGACACAAGTTTAACAGACCTATGGCGTATCTCCTAGTGTTTCCTACTGCTGACCAAAGAGTTGTGAATTCTGCTCATTTTCAGCTTTTCAAGTCATTGAGGGCCTTGTTTTTGTTCACAAAAGAGGAGATGGGAATTACAGTTAAAGGACAGCGTGTTGCTAGGTTAATCCTTCACCTGCAGCACCAGCATCCCATGTGGGCGCCGGGTTCTAGTCCCGGCTGCTCCTCTTCCAGGCCAGCTCTCTGCTGTGGCCTGGGAGTGCAGTGGAGGATGGCCCAAGTGCTTGGGCCCTGTACCCCATGGGAGACCAGGAGGAAGCACCTGGCTCCTGGCTTTGGATCGGCGCAGCTCCAGCCATTGTGGCCACTTGGGGAGTGAACCAATAGAAGGAAGACCTTTCTCTCTGTCTTTCCCCCTCACTGTCTGTAACTTTGCCTGTCAAATAAATAAAATAAAATCTTTTTTAAAAAAAGAGCAGTGTGTTGGAGCCAGGGTTGGCCCCCTTCCTGCCCACATCCCCAGAGCTACCATCCCTGAGCCCCTGCTGCCTTGGGAAACATCCACACACCCCAAGCCCAGGTTCCTCATCAGAACCAGCCTGGGACAGTCAGGTCACCTCGGCTCTGACCTTCAATGCTGCTGCTGGCCCAGCCTCCCCCAGGTCTCCCAGTTTCCCCCCGACAGTGTACAGCCCCAACAGTCACAGCCCAACCTGCCCACGCACTTCTGCCCCACCCCCGGCGGAGGCCGATCCAAGGGAACCACAGGTACTCCTCGGGAGCCAAGGCACAGACCTCGGTTGCTGTGGCCCTGGCTGGCACAAGAAGGCAAGAACCACAGCGGGTGCTGCATGAGGTGGAAACTTCCAGATTTACAGAAAATTGCCGAGACAGTCCAGATGGCTCCCCTATACCCTTCATTTAAATTCCCCTAACACTAGTTGAGTATTTCCATTTTTTTATTGGCTTATTAGCCATAGTTCTTTTGTAATTGTAGTGGTTGCTTCAAAATGGATAGCACCCATTTTTAACCTATCCCAACCTGCCTTCAAGTGCTATCATACTATTCCACATACACGATTCATCAAAAACCTTAAAACAGTATTCACACGCTTGCATTTCTCCATAAATTCTATTTATAGCTTTGCTGTAAACCCCACAATACATGGTTACTTCTGTGTAAGCTACCAGTTTCCCTCACTGTGATTTAAATAATGAGAAAACACTGCACCTGCTGATCCATGGAGTCTTTGTTCTGTGTGCTTTTCCTGTTTCTGTCTGGTGTTACTCTCCTCCTACCTGAAGGCCCGCCCCTTACTATTCCTAGAAAGACACTTCTGCTGGTGATGGCTTCTTTGAGTTTCTGGGTTCCCCGGGCAAGTCTTAATGTTACCTTTAACACTAGAAGGCATTTTCATGGAATATAGAATTCTTCTTTCAGGACTTTAAAAATGGGGCTGGTGCTGTGGGTACAGCCAGTTCAGCCCCTGCGTGCCACACTGGCATTCCATATCTGAGTGCTGATTTGAGCCCTGGCTCTTTAGCTTCCAATCCAGCTCCTGCTAATGCACCTGAAAAAGCAGCTAAAGATGGCCCAAGTCCTTGAATCCCTGCCACTCACGTGGGAGACATGGATGGAATTCCTGGCTCTTGGCTTCAGCCTGGCTCAAGTGCTGGCCATTGTTGCCATTTGGGGAGCAAACCCGTGAATGAAAGATGTCTCTGCCTCTCCCTTTCTCTCTGCCTTTCAAATAAATAAAATAAAATCTTAAAAAAATATTTTCCACTAATAAATATTAATATGTCATTTTTTCTGACTGGTTTTAATATGACTATGATGTTTCATGGACTTCATGTTTCTTTTTTTGCAAGGATCACAGAGCTTCTAGGATCTGAGTTTACCATTTGGATCATATTGAAACAATTCTAGTCATTTTCTTTGAATATTTTTTTCTGTTCTTTTTCCTTGGGATTCCAATTACACATATATTTGGAATCTCAAAATTCTCCTATAACTCACTGATAATATTTTTGTTTTTTGGGGGTGAGAGAGAGAGAGAGAGAGAGAGAGAGAAATGAAGCTCCCAAACACGGTTCAGAGCCCTCAACAACTGGGCCAGGACCTAAGTCAAGGCCAGGCACCTGGACCATCATATACGTCTCCTGTACAGACGGCAGGAACCCAGTTAATGAAGCTGTCACTGCTGCCTTGCAGGTTCTGCATTGGCAGGAAGCTGGAGCTAGCAGCAGAGCTGGGAACTGAACCCCGGCACTCTCATATGGAATTCGGGCATCTTAACCGCTAAGCTAAATGCTTGCTCCAGATTTTAATTTTTTCCCAATAATCCTTGTTTCCTCATCGATCATCTCTATCGCTGCGTCTTCAAATTCACTAATATTTTCTACTGCAGTGTCTACTTGGCTGTAAATACAATAGAGTGCTTGTTGTCTACCACACTCCACCCAGTGACCTATAAATGACATTTCCAGTCTGACTGGAGAGCTCCCCCACCCTGCCTCTACCAGAATCATCAGTATCTACAAGTCACACATGAAAGTACCTTCACAAGAGCTAAGAAAATAAAACAAGTGATCGCAGAGCCTGGTTTCAGCAGCAACACGAAAAGACGCATGAAAGAGGGCAGGAAGGAAAGAGCTGTCCTTTTTACTCCAAGCAATGAGCCCAGAGAGAAACGCGTTCCATGCCAGGGAGAGAGGGAACTTAAGTGTTGGGCTTGGAATCTGGTAAAAGACCCATCAGGGTGAAATTCAGAACCCACCCAGCCCACAGCAGGAGCCTCCAGACCCATGTGTTAGCCTGTTGGCCAAGTAACTAGCTCTACTACGCCTCCATGACTGTCAGGCTGCGAGAACAGAGAGAGAGTCCAAGAGCAGGTATTTGGTATAGCAGGAAAGACACTGCTTGGGTCACCCACATCCCATATTGGGAGTACCCGGGTTCAAGTCCTGGATCCACTCTCGGTTCCAGGTTCCTGTTAACACACACCCAGGGAAGTAGCACGTGGCAAAGTACTTGGGTCCCTGCCACCCATGCAGGAGATTCAGGCGAAGTTCCCAGCTCCTGGCTTTGACCTGGCCCAGTCTTATCTGCTATGGGTATTTGGAGGAGTGTAAAGTAAATAGGTGATATGTCTATGTCTGTTTGTCTGATTCTCTCTCTCTCTCTTTCTCTCTCTCTGTCTGCCTTTAAAATAATGAAAATAAAAATAAATAAAATTAAAAAAAAAAACACAGAGAAAGACTCCATCCACCAAGAACAGGAAAGGAAGAGAGCACAGAGCTTGCCTTGGGATGGGTCCATCCCAATGGTGCCAGTGCCCAGAACGCAGCTTCTAGA